ATACCTAATTTAAAATCTAGTGGAGGCCGGGCGCAGTGGCTCAAGCCTGTAATCCCAGCACTTTGGGAGGCCGAGGCGGGTGGATCACAAGGTCGAGAGATCGAGACCAACCTGGTCAACATGGTGAAACCCCGTCTCTACTAAAAATACAAAAAAAAAATTAGCTGGGCATTGTGGCGTGTGCCTATAATCCCAGCTACTCAGGAGGCTGAGGCAGGAGAATTGCCTGAACCCAGGAGGCGGAGGTTGCGGTGAGCCGAGATTGCGCCATTGCACTCCAGCCTGGGTAACAAGAGCGAAACTCCGTCTCAAAAAAAAAAAAAAAAAAAAAATCTAGTGGAATGGAGTTGAAATGTTCAGTTTGTTCGTTTGTTTTGTTGTTGTTGTTTTTCTTTTGAGACAGAGTCTTGCTCTGTTGCTCAGGCTGGAGTGCAGTGGCACGATCTCGGCTCACTGCAACTTTCGCCTCCTGGCTTCAAGTGAGTCTCCTGCCTCAGTCTCCTGAGTAGCTGGGATTATAAGCATGTGCTACCACATCTGGCTAATTTTTGTATTTTCGGTAGAGATGGGATTTCACCATGTTGGCCACGCTGGTCTTGAACTCCTGACTTTGTGATCCACCGGCCTTAGTCTCCCAAAGTGCTGAGATTACAGACATGAGTCATCATGCCTGGCCTAAAATTATCAGTTTTTGTTGACAGAGTTGAATTTGCCCTTGGATCACTGCAATCTCTGGGATAATCTACCTAATGACAATGACTCAAAACAAACATTTCCTTGGTAGTTGGAAGTTTTTATAACAGATGTTTCTATGTCAAAAACCACTGAGTATTGCCAAAGTTCAATACTAGATGTTGTCCTTATTAATACACTTGTCAAATAAAATTAACCACCTAGATGTCTCCTAATATATGCTTCAAAAAGTAATCACAATACGATAAAAATTTTAGAGCTGAGCAATAACTAATCAGTCATCAGTTTTATTTACTAGTTTTTAAACACAAGATTCTTGATTTCCTTTAGTTTCCTAAATATAATAATAAATATTCATATCTTGCAAGAATACCATGAAATAGTACTATTATTATTCCCATTTTACAGAAGAGGAATCTATTCTGTAAAGAGTGAAGGCTTTACAGAAGCCTCAGAGTTGGTTTGTGAAGCCACAGAGTCAGTAAGTAACTGTAACAGCCTGTGATCACGGGAAACAAGGGCCAGAGCTGGGATCAGGGTTCCAACCCAGATCCAGCTGACTCTAACTCTCAGGCTCTTTTCTACACATCTTTGTTGTCCGCTTGGGAACTAAAGATTCAACAGTCACTTTTAATGTTTAAAAAGACATGATACAAATTATATTATTTTTAAAGCAGCCCATGGTGATGGATACCACAGGTGTCTACATCCCACTCAGTTGGGCATTACTGGCAATCTCATGACAGAAGCATTGATTAGCCATTAGAAAGATCTCTTTTTAATTAAAATGATTACATAATAAATACTCTTTTATAGCAGAGGATGATATTGGTGGAGAACCAGCATCTTATTTCAAGGCTCTCATTTCCAGATGAGAAAACTGAAACTTAAAGGAGTTAGGCCAGCTACTCTGTAGATATGCATTTGGGAGCAGAGGGTGTGGGGTGTATTGCAGCAGCTGATTAAAAACGAAGTCAAGGAATTCACTAATCTGAATAAATCAATTCTACCACTCCAGACATTTTTTTGTGGATCCAATTTATATTTGAAGTGCATGGAGGCCAGGTGTGATGGCTCATGCTTGTAATCCCATCACTTTGGCAGGCAGAGATGGGTGGATCACCTGAGGTCAGGAGTTCGAGACCAGCCTGGTCAGCAATGGCAAAACCCTGTCTCTACTAAAAATACAAAAATCAGACAGGCGTGGTGATGGGCACTTGTAATCCCAGCTACTCGGGAGGCTGAGGCAGGAGAATTGCTTGAGCTCAGGAAGTAGAGGTTGCAGTGAGTCAAGATCATGCCACTGCACTCCAGCCTGAGCGACAGAATGAGACCCTGTCTCAAAAATTTTTTAAAAAGCCTTTTCGATCTGCCGTCTGCGCCTCAGGTGGGGCCACCACCAAAATGCAGATTTTCGTGAAAATCCTTACGGGGAAGACTATCACTCTCGAGGCTGAACCCTCGGATACGATAGAAAATGTAAAGGCCAAGATCCAGGATGAGGAAGAAATTCCTCCTGATCAGCAAACACTGATCTTTGCTGGCAAGCAACTGGAAGATGGACGTACTTTGTCTGACTACAACATTCAGAAGGAGTCTACTCTTCATCTTGTGCTGAGACTTCGTGGTGGTGCTAAGAAAAGGAAGAAGTCTTACACCACTCCCAAGAAGAATAAGCACAAGAGAAAGAAGGTGAAGCTGGTTGTTCTGAAATATTATAAGGTGGATGAGAATGGCAAAATTAGTCGCCTTCGTCGAGAGTGCCCTTCTGATGAATGTGGTGCTGGAGTGTTTATGGCAAGCCACTTTGACAGACATTATTGTGGCAAATGTTGTCCGACTTACTGCTTCAACAAACCAGAAGACAAGTAACTGATTAATAAAAGACATGAACCAAAAAAAAAAAAAAAATTAAAAAAAAAAACACTCTTTTTCTTTACCCTTTTATGGATAGTGCTTGGGGGTCTGTGGATTCAACTGACAAAAGACAGACTAGCAAGGCAAAAGACAGATTTTTGTTCACATATATCAAATGTATGTGGGCATTCATAATCACTCAAGAAGGCAGCTGTTAATAGAATTTGGAGTGTATATACTATCTTAACAGGAGAAGGATATTTATGGGAAAACAAACGATTTTTAGAAAAGATAAATGGAAGCTTATAAGTGCTGGGCTCAGAACATGATACTCCAAGGCATGCTGAGTACTCTTAACTGAAGGACATCGGAAGGACAACAGTTCTGTCCGCTTCATCCTTTCTGATAGTACCTGGTGTTTGCCAAAGTAGAGGTAATTAATTACTATCCAGTGAATAACAATTGGACTGGGGTTCCTTTAGGGCAGGTGCAAGTATCTGATATCTTGGTATCCTTGAGTGCTTAAGAAAGCAAGCCTGGAACATGTTAAGGGCTCAGTAAGTGACTGGGACAAAGAGTTGAATGAGAGAACAGGTAAACAGCAACCACAGTCATGCTTTGCTTAATGATGGGAATACCTTCTGAGAATGTGTTGTTAGGTGATTTGGCATTGCACAAATGTCATTGAGGGAACTTACATGAACCTAGGCAATATAGCCTACTACACATCTCGGCTGCACCATGTGGCTGACCGTTCCTACACTACAAACTTGTGCAGCATGTTACTATACTGAACGCTATAGACAACTGTAATGCAATAGTGAGTACTCTGTGTATCTAAATATGTCTATAGAAAAGGTACTGTAAGAATATATTATAATCTTATAGCACTACTGTCATATACACGGTCTGTTGTTGACTGAAACATCCTTATGTGACACATGATTGTATATCCTCAGAACTGTTAAGAACTATTTGATGCTGAAGAGATGGAGTTTTGTAGCACAAATTTTGGTGCTTGTCCTTGAAAAGTGGTCTGTTCTACTCGGAGACTAGAAATAAACACTTCTATAAAGCGTAACTTGTGCACGACGTGTTCTATAAGGGCAATGAAAATTCAGGAATGGAGTAGAGCAGGAGAGAGGACTGAGAAAAATAGTCTCTTGGCATGAAGAAGGTGTGTAAGGAGGGAGCGACAAGAAACCAGGTGTGTGAGTAGTGCTGGTGGAAAATGAGCATGTGGGGAGCAGGGTGGGGTATTGACCAAACCAAGGGTCTATTGAGTAAGGTGAGTTGTATTGGCCAAGTGGTTCAGTTTATGAAACATGGAAAAACCAGGCCCAGAAATGTAATCTTCATAGAGCAGAAAATCTCTGTGGGGTCGGGGGCGCGGGTGGGGGGGGGGGCTCGCCCTCTTTTTTTATGGAAGTTAAGTATAAATATAAATATATGATCTCTCACAAAGAGACAACAAACATTGTAACCTAATATGTGTACCCTCCAAACCAACTAAGCTCTCTTTAGGCTTTTGAAATGCAAACTGTGGGCTTGCCTTCACATTCACTTCATTCCACAAAAGTTTCCCCGGGCACCTACTTGAGCTAGAATTTTGTTAGGCACCAAGGGGGGTACAAAGAACAAAAAAAGTTGGTCCCTATTCCCCAGGAGTTTACAGCTCAGTGGTGGAGATAAACGTGGACACAAATCCTTACAACAGGAGGTAAAAATGTAAACATAGGATTGGAGGGGTTCAGTTCCCAGAGATTCTGCATGGAGGTGGTGTGGAAAATTAGAAAGATTTCTTAGACTAATTGGTTTGGGATCAGGGTTTTAAATTGTTGGAGTAGAACATGTTCTCTTTAAGGCAATAGCCAGGGTTAAGGCGGTTGAAGTCCATGCGCTGGAGTAATGAACAGTGGTCTGATTTGGCTGGAGCGCAAGATTCCTCAAGGGGCGCCGTGGGGAATTTAGCTGGGTGTGTGCCCAATAACCGAGGCTGGGAACCTGGTAGAAGGAAGTCGAGCTGAGACTTTATTCCGCATCTCTTATGTTTTGACTTAGGCATCTATTGGTCCTTTAAAAAAAAAAAAAAAAACTCCTCCTCTTTCCTAAAGAGAGTTCTAGCAGCTGGGGGTGGGGTGGGGACCGTTTCCTAAAGTCAACGCCTAAGTTAAAGGTCTGCAAGGCGGTCCACCGCTGATATAAATCCCGCACTTCGGAAACCAGAAAAGGAAACATGTGAGAGGCTGGGCAGGGGGAACCCGCTTCACATCCACAGCAACCCCCAAATGGCACCAGCCCTTGGCGGGACAGGCTGCAGGCCAGAATTGGGAGCGGGGCGCCAGCACCCGCTGGAGCTCTGAGCCCCGAACTGGCGGGCAAGGGGTAGAGGAAGAGAGGGAGGGAGGGAGGGAGGAAGCGCGAGAGGGAGGGAGGAAGAAAGGGAGGGAGGCGGCGTCATGTGATCCGCTTCCCTGCTCCTTTAAGCGTCCACAGGCGGCGGAGCGGCCACAATCACAGCTCCGGGCATTGGGGGATCCCGAGCCGGCTGCGCCCGGGGAATCCGTGCGGGCGCCTTCCGTCCCGGTCCCATCCTCGCCGCGCTCCAGCACCTCTGAAGTTTTGCAGCGCCCAGCAAGGAGGCGAGGGAGGAGGGACTGTGTGAGAGAAGGGAGCAAAAAGCACACCCTAAAACATTTATTTCAAGGAGAAAAGAAAAAGGGGGGGCGCAAAAATGGCTGGGGCAATTATAGAAAACATGAGCACCAAGAAGCTGTGCATTGTTGGTGGGATTCTGCTCGTGTTCCAAATCATCGCCTTTCTGGTGGGAGGCTTGATTGGTAAGTGCGAGAGCTGCAAACTTTTCCCCCTTTCTGTCTTTTCGGGCCCCTTCCCTCTTTGCCTCTTGGGCTACTTGTTACAGTATCACTGCCTTGCTTCTATGATCTAATTAGTCCGGCTATTGTGCTTAAGAAAGCAGAGCTCCATGGGGCTCCGTGGGGCACAATCCAGTCTAGTGGCTAAGAGAAAAGGAGGGGAAAAAGTTTTGGCCTAGTTTCAGTATCCACTTGAAAGGCAAGAGGGGGGCGGCGGGGGTGGGAATCTGAAGCATGGCGACGGATCGCGCGAGGAAGCACTGGGTTACAAAGTTGATTGCTCGCCGCCCCCCCACCCCCGCTTTTTCCCGCGTTCCCCCCCTTTTCCTCTCCGTTCCCTTCCAATCAGCTCCGGGAGGGCAACGTAATCGACTTTATTAGGAACAACAGAAGAGTCGAGGCACTGCGCCCGGCGCAGACCCGGAGCTCTGTTACACGGCTCTGATACTCGCGTGGTGTGAATGCATTTGGTCGTCTTCGCTAGGGGCTGAGGGTTTTTGCATTTTGGGGTCCCGACCTTCGCGCCCTGTTTCCCCGCCGCCCTCCACCCCACGCTCTGCCGTGGACAGGTCCTAATTGTGGGCCGGGAGGCGGGGTGGGGTGGGAGGGAGTCCTTGACCAGCGCCGCGGGAAGTTGGAAAGGTCGGAGGGGAAAAACGTATCCGAAAGGTGTTGCTTTTGGCCTCCTGCCCACTCGCGAATCTCCCTCCCCCCACTTCTTAGAGCCCCGAGAGCCGGCGACTCTGGATTCCTCGTCCTCCCTTGGCACTTAGGAGAGCGTCCCCCGCCCCCACTCCAGCCCCCCGCAGGTGACAGCCCCCTGGCCCCCCGGCGGCTGTGCCGCCCCGGGAGACCTCCCTTGGCGTGCACCTCCCGGACCTCTCTGAGTCAAACAGGCTTCCGGTGAAGAAAACTGCCTCACGGACCGTCCACTCGGAAAAACTCCCTTCCCCTCGCTGTGTCCCGGTCTTCATGCATCCTCCCGGCTCTTTGCACATTCGCGCCCCCCACCCCCTCAAGATTTGGGACATCCCGGCACGAACTTCAATGCCAACTTTGCAGCGGGCACGGATGGGAGGTTCGGTCTCCTTACTTCACGGCTTTGTTAAACTTTGCGGAGTGGAGAGTCCACGAGGGGTTTCTCCCCGAGTGCTTTTGCGGGCGCCCACGCGATGTGGGGTGCGGGGGAAACGCCCGCCGGGCGCGGGCAGCGTCGCTGCCAGAGCTGCGCAGGCTTGGGCACCTCGAGTCGTGTGCGTGCGTTTTGTCTCCAGACTTGGGTTTGATGGGAACAAATTAAAGGGAGTTTGCTACTGTAAATCACGGTAACATCCAAGCCAATTGTCTTAAACAAAGGAGAGTGGGTGAAGCTTCAACAAGGAGAGAAATTCCTAAAGGAGACAGTGCTTTTTTCTCTGTCAGCATTTATCCACAAAGCAGAAAGGGGTTCAGAGTTTTCCAATCTCGTATCTCCAGTGTGGGTCAAACAGCTTGATATTTTTATTTCTGAAACCCTCAGCGCGCGCGCACACACACAGAGGCACACACACATACACAAACACACATATACACACACGGTTTGGCTTTTGTGTTAGGAGCTCCTGTTTGGCTACATGCAATCTCCATGTTTCCCCGTATTGGATTTTTCGAGGCTCTTAATACCTTCTCTGCTGGGAGCTGAAGGCAGCCTTCCCTGTGCCCTCACAGTGATTATGCAGCGGTTACAATTACACCTCTTGTCTCCCTTGATGAGCAGTTGCAGTTAGATGCCATTGGATCTTGTGTGATTTCAGCGGCAGACCATAATTAAAATTTCTTGCACCTTGTGCTTTCAGAATTAAATTGGCCTATTATCCCTGTCTGACCTTCATCCTCTTTGAGGTTTTTGCACAAGCAGCAAACCATTACACATAGTTTCCTGGTTTTTGTTGGTGTGTTTTTCCTTTTTCTAAGGCTGATCTCCTAGCTTTGCAGAGCCCATTATCCATGATGTAGGCTTCCTAGGGGACTTCTGGAACTAGCAGAATTTCTGGGATCCTACCAATGACGAGTAGCCCTAAGGGCACTCCTGAGTGGCTGGTGGACATTACAGTTACTACAGGGTCAGAACACTTGTTTGTTCCAAGCAGGGTTTGTCTGGAGTAAGTAGTGCCAAAGATTGTTTTTCCCAGAGAATTTGTTTAATGACAACAACCTCAAAAAGTCCGTGGCAGGTGCTAACTTAACTAGATTACCCTCAATTAATAAACTGCTTTATTACAATTTCCTTGAAAAATATCTATGTATAACGCTTCTTGGAGGAAACTGTGTAAGTTTACTGCTTACCTCCTCTCCTTCCTCAGTTGCAAAGGCCGCGTCTCCAGTTCAGATCAGAGCCAGCCCACGCTGAACAGTGACTTAGCCTTTCCTCTTAAACTTAGAAAGTAATTTTTTTTTTTTTTTTTGCTCTGAAACAAATCTAAAACCTTGGGAAGGGCCCAAACATGGGAAATAAATATCAACAAAATACAAATGATATATATTCCCACCAAATTTCCCTAAACTGGAAAACAGGGGAAACTATGGAAAGAATATCAACAAAGTAGGCAAGCGGAAACAGTAGCTGAAGGAACAGTTTGTAGGCTGGAAAGTCAAGGTAAAGTTCAAAAACCTCCTCTGCTCTCTCCAGTGAGAAGAGAACTCCTCCACAGCTCATTGTCACTGCCACTTAAGAAGTCAGTTGTCCTGGGTGTGAAGTGTCTCTAATATATCTGCAGTAGGCCAAGTCCGAAAAGGAAACTTTCCTTTTGTACTGGCCAGAATATATTTCTCTTTTGGATCGCTCTTTTTGCTGATGAGAGTAAACAGAGCAACTTAGGAAGAAGAGATTATAAATGACAAACCTCTTGCTTGTAAGGGTGTAAGTACCACATGTACCACACACACAAATATACAGCACAAAAACACCCCCCCACACACAAAAAAAACAGTGACAATCCATGAGCCCCAAAGTGACCAGGCCAGTGAGTTAACCAGCAGGCTTCAGGCTCCTCATTGGTAGAGGGAAGAGTTTAAGGTCGCTTTCAGTTCTAAAACTGAACTGTAACTCTCTTAGTACTTAGAGAATTGGACATGACATTTAGACTGTTGTTTGGTTGCAGCCTTCTAGATTTGATAAAGTAAATTTATAAAAGCAAATAGCCTCGAGGGACTGGCTTTGGTTTAGCCAGCTTATATATTCTCCTATTTCAATGTCCTTCTTACCCAAAAAAATTTTTTTTTGTTTGCTTTTTTTTTTTTTTGCATATAAGCAAAAAAAAAAAAAAAAAAAAAAAAAAAAAAAAAAAGGTTTCAGCTCTAAGTTAAACCTTTAATGGGATTTTGCCAAAAGGCCCTGAAAGCAATATCTTACATAGTAGAACTTGGGGTATTTATAAATTCACTGCTTTATATCATGATTCTGTAAAAACTTTGAGGCACTATGAAACCATATATCTGATACATCTAGTATTCTACATGCATCTAAATACATTCCAAATATTTAGAAATTATTTAAAAATGCAATAACCCCTGAAGGAAAAAATATTTTTTAAAATATAACTTAATCTTTATTCTCCTTAAAAATAAGCCTGCAGAAAACTTAAAAAAATAATTTTCCTTTGATTTCATGTTTGGTGAATTTAGCTCCTGAAAAGGCAGCTTTGGGGGTGGTGGAAGCAGGGAGAGGAAGGAGACCATGTACCCTGAAAAGAGAGTGCAGACTAAAAATCATGAACTTGAATCCCTGGCCCATTATGTGCAATGTGCTCATCTTCAAATTAGTCATGTTTTGGGAATATAATGGTTGAAAAAGCAGGTCACTGTTCCCAGCTGTTCTAAAACTATTAAGAGTATGAAGATCAGAACTGGATGAATAGAAAATTGTTGCACTGTTTTAAGCATACCCATAAATGAGAGTATTCCAAATATAAACTCCAAATAAGTATCAACAAATCACCAATTATTATTTCTTTAGGGAAGATCACTGTTTCTTTGAAAAGGTAACTTATGTGAGTGGCCTCTTTAATGCTGAGAATGTAATGTATACTCTATAAGATATAACATATACACATATGTCATCAATTTTCTCAAATTGTGCATGGATTATCTACTTCTTTCAATGATAGAGCCCACATGATTGTGCTAGTATTGTTTAAGTGGAGGCAACTGGTCTTTACTGTGACCCATTTATGTGAGTTTTTGTTTCTACTGCTGTTATTTATTTGGAAGTTGCAGAATTTTAAGAAATTAAATAAAACTACAGTTATGCAGAGTATATGTGTTTGCTCCCCAATTTATTAGACTTTAAGCTTGTTGGATTTATTTTAATGTGTCAATGATGCAATAGTTGTAATCTTTCAATATTTGAGTATCTGGTGAGAATCTGAAAAAGTACTAATCAATTGGTTTTTGGTTGATATTGGGCCATATTTTTCTGTATTTGATTCTGCTTTTTATTTCATAAAATTTCATTGTCTTCCTCTTTGTTACCTACTGGAAGTATCTAATGTGGTTTGTAGGAATACTGTGCAATCTTAAAAGTTAGTCTTTTTTAAAAAAGTGAAATTCTTTTAGCAATTGAAATTAATTACAATATTCAAGTTAAAAAAAAAAAAACAAAACTATTTGGTTCTTGCAGTGCAATCATGCTCGTGCTAACAGTCTCTAATTGCTCTTTCAGCTGATTGTTCTTTCAGGACAGCCTGTCTAGACTTCTGTTCAAACTTTCCCTTTTCCTGTTACAATGAGAAACATTTCCTTGAGCTAATAGTGTTACGTGTGGCTTTGTGAGGTTTTCAGGTTCCCTGCCTGAAACCCAGATTGAGATTTAAGGCCTTCCCTGCCTACATGACGTTTTGCAATAATTTGACCTTTAAAGTTTTAAATCCATATAAACTGCAGAAAGATTATTACCTTATCTTCCTCTTAAAGGTGTTTCTATGGAG